TCTGAGGAGAGATTGTCTCTCTTTTATAGATGTATCAAGAGGATGAATAATAAGAGAAATGGAATAACAGATGGTCAAGTTCTGTTAGATTGTATATGTACGCGGCTGGGAGAGTTGAATCTTGGATTACGCCATAAATCTCTCATCATCATCAAATCAAATCATCGATCTCCAATAGAATGGGACAGGGGGTCGATCAAAGAAATATAGGTGATGGAAAAGGGGGTCGTTCTAAGGAGAGATTGTCTCTCCTGTATAGGTAAATCATGAGGAGGTATAATTAAGAATTCCCAATGTTATCTGATTGAACAGACATGAAGTGCGTAGCGGTTTCTATTGATTGTCGCATGCCTAATCCTTGTTAATGTAAATCTAATAAAAACAACATTTATTTAAAAGAGCAACATGCAAGTTTCTTGCTCATTCTTCGTGTTGATGAGTCTGTGTTCCGAATGAATAAAAATGTGACTATTCAAAAGTGTTTATATTAAGTTTATTTGAATAAAGATTATTTCTATTTCTATTTCTACTGCAATTTGCTAACACACGGGTGTGATGCGCTCGATAGTCTCACTCCGATATTGCCACCGATTTTGGAGCCGTGTGTAACCAGTTTTAACAGTTCGAGGCAGGCGAGAGTTGTATTCACTCATTAGTTTTACGTACCACCGGTTCGGTTCGTGAACTGCGCTAACTCTCAAGTACATTTTTCTGAATAAAACAACGTACAAGTCATTTTGAATATTCATAAAAATTACTCAACACAAAACTATTGAGCGGCAACTGTGTTAAAGTTAAAGAAATATTAACGCGAAATCTGTTTGTATTTAACATTCTCAATGAAAACAGACGATAGATTTTTTTTTCTCGTTATATAATAATTCATTTATTTGTCATTATTTCCTAATAATTATAGTGAATTGAACCTCTTGAGTGGGATGAAATTTTTTATACCTGCATACTTACAGTGCGCAATAATAGAGACAAGGAAGAAACTTAATAATAATAATAATAAAAATCTAGACTCAAGTTAAGCTAGCTAAAACTTGTGTTATTAGATAACTGATACAAATACATAGATTTTTTCGTTAATACATGTATTATACATAGAAAACACTCAGAGTGATACATACAATCATCACTCATCAATCACTCATGAATACAAATGTTTGTGCCATGCGAGGAATCGAACCCACGACCATCCGAAGTAAAGCGGTGTGCTAAACCGCTAGACCAGCAAGGCCATCTATTGCATTAGCATGCGTAAAATATATATATATATATATATATATATATATTTCTAAAATAAAAGTAGCGTAAGTTACTCCTTATTATATCAGCTACCTGCCAAAAAAAGTCCTGTCAAAATCAGTCCAGCCATTTCAGAGATTAGCCGCAACAAACAGACAGACAGACAGACAAAAATTGTAAAAAATGTTATTTTGGTGTACGTACCGTATTTATATTCATATGCATGTAGTAAAAAACGGTTATTTCAATATTACAAACAAACACTCCAATTTTATTTACATGTACAGATTGACCTGCAAAATTCGTGTCGGGGTTTATCTGCAGTTGTTTCACTTAATTCAGTTCTCTCAATTACGTAGTATATTATTTTATTGTAAACATAAAAAAATATATTATATATATTTTTTGCATTTACAATATTTCATATTTTTTGTATTACTCGCTACAAAAATAAGAAAAAAATTCATAAATAATATATGTTTGTTAAGTCTAGACTAATGTATATTTATATGTTTGTTATTAATTCTATTTCTTTCGGTTTGTTTATTTAGTTATCAGTACTGAAATAATTTTGCCTGTTGTTTCATGAAAGACATTTGTAATAATATATATATATATTGTTTTTATTAATTATATTTCCACCGCCTACAGTTTTTCTCTGCACAGCCTATGGTTGTCTGGTAGAAAATGCCTTAAGGCGTTAAGTCCGCCATATGTACTTTTACCTTGGTATTTTGTGCATTGAAGTTATATAAATAAATATATATATTCCGTTATGTTTAGAAAGTTTGAATTTAAAAATTAATCAGTATTATTGAAAACATGTATAATATTAATTAGAAAAGAATACGAGCTGAGTTTCTTGTCAGTTCTTCTCATCTCGAAATCATACCGAACTGACGGTAGATTTGACATATCATAAGAGTCTGTAATAGACCTACATTAATATTTTGAATTTGAATTTGATAAATATTATTATAATTTCGGCTCATTTTATATTTCAAATCATTACATAGTATAAAACAAAGTCGCTGTCGCTGTCTGTCCCTATGTATGCTTAATTCTTTAAAACTACGCAACGGATTTTGAAGCGGTTTTTAATAGATAGAGTGATTCAAGAGGAAGGTTTATATATATAATATATGTACTCCCGTGCGAAGCCAGGGCGAGTAGTTAGTTAAGTATCGACTGTATCTGTATTGTTATACAGATACAGTATAATAATAAAAATGTTTTTTAATTTATTAATCAATTCAAATTAAACCAAATTATTACTTACACTAAATTTTATGTCAATATGACCACCATTTATTAGTGAAAAGTTTACCCAAATTGGTCAAGTCGTTTCTGAGATTAGCGAGCGAAAACATGTAGGTACATATTATATATAGTAAGTTTTGTCCAGGTTGTCTGTAAGAGATTGCTTTGAGCAATAGGCCACCTTTTGTTTGCATATTTTTCTTACTTTCATTTTTTTTGCGAATATTTGTTCAATTTTTTTATGTACAATAAAGAGTTTTATTATTATTATATATATATTTTAATTATTGGTGACTGACACAACTGACGGCAATGTTAGACTTTTTTTGTATATACGTAATATACATAGAAAACACTCATATCAATACACCTGGATACAAAAGTATGGATCGTGAGAGGAATCGAACCCGCGATCATCGGTCAAGCGGTGAGCTATACCGATGTACCACCGCGACCATCACGCTGTCAAAGATATCTTTTTAAAATTTTATCTCGGTAAAGTAGATTTAAGAATATCCTTCACGGATCTAGGTAGTGAACTCTGAAAAAGGGCGAGCACAATAGATCTATGTGGGTTGCAGTGCTATAGGTCCAAACCCCGTACAATAGCTCAAACCTCCAAATAAAAAAAATCAGATCCATATTTGACTGTATTTATACATACTGAAGTAAAACCTGCTGTATATGTAATAAACCGTATGTTATTCCCTAAAAAGAGGTCCAACTCACGACTCAATTGTTCTAAGAACATAAACAAATCATATATTTTTCACCACACAAATGGTGGTAACTACCAGTTTTAAACTTATACAGTAAACTCGTCTTTATATTTACAACAATTTGAAATATATACACCTGCGAGTTTGATATAAATTGTATAAACTACATTTACGTATAAGTTTAATTAATTTTATATACAAAATTGTCATCTTACATCTAGATCTTAAATTATTTTGGTGTAAACAATATTTGAATGGATAGCGTAAATATGTTCTTTAAGACTTTGAGCATTAATTAACAAAATATCTCAACGAAGGGAACGAGCAAAGGGAATTACTCGGAAATATAAGCAAAATGCCTTTATATACATTGAAAGTAATTAAAAATATAAATACATTTACAAAATTATTACAACCTGTTAATATTTTGATCAGAATATACATTTATTGATTAATTAAAAATATTAAATTATTTACAGAAGTAAACAATAATGATTTTAAATGAAGTAGAAAGATATTTATTTGTTAGATGTTAATAAAACTAAACGCACATTAAACAAAAAAAAACCTCAAAACATTGCAACACTAACAAAAAAAAAGTAAATTTTCATATATTGTTACAAAATTACGTGCATGTCTGTCGAAGCATCTACCGAGTAGGTCCGTGCTCAGCATAATGCTGCAGCGGCTGGAGCGCTGCAACGCTGTTTTTCAGCACAAGAACTGGGGTGGTGTATCGCTGTGTTAGATCTTAAATTCATAAAATTTTCGGCAGCGATGTATAAAATTGTGAAGTCATTAGTGGTATTTAAATACTTAATTACAAATATAAAAGTATTCAATTATATTATATTATATAAATATTCATTTCATTGAACATAAATTCAAAACTTCTATTATAACTTCTCATACGCTCTCGTTATTACGCTCTTGCTCTATATTGAAACAATACAAAACTGTATAATTATTATTTTGTATTTATTTGAATGTTATACAATATCGAAATATAAATACAATTTAATAATAAATTTATGAGTGTCACGTTGAGAGGACACTGTCTGCTCTATTCCACAGTCTCAAGGTCGTAATTTAAATGACCTAGCTTTGACGAATGGACTGTTACGTCATTTGAGTTTGAATAATTTATATATTATACATACCTCCATTTTAAATATCGCTAATGACTGCTACCTCTCTTCATATAAACATAAAGAAGACAATAATAATAAATTAAATATATATAAATTGTAGTGAAATTATTTATTACAAATATAATTTTTTAATTAATGTTTATACATTAATTTATATATGTAAAAAAAAACAAAATTAATTATAATAAATATAAAGTATAATTTATACAAAAAAATTAATAACATTATTTTTCACCTAGGGACTTCTTATTTTTTTCGCATAATAAATACGTCTTTTCGATTTTGAATATCTTCATAACATTTTTCTAACGATTTCAATTATATCTAAAGTTAATTAATATTAACAAGTCATTGTGTGGGGGGCTGGAGGCTTCGAATTAATATTATATGTAACAATAACATATAAAAAATGTATTAAGACAATTGCAGAAACAATTTTTATAATTGTTATAACAATTGTAAATTACTATATTTTTTATTTAAGAAACATACTATAAATTGACAAAAATTTAATTTTTAAATTCTTTATTTACTGTTAAATTGATAGAAATCATGTAGTAATGGAGAAGATTTATATTCTTCTTTATTCTGCATTAAATTTTAACTATAATTACACGAAAAGAAATTATTTATAGATTAAAAGAAGTACAATCAGAAGTACCGCCCCGCGTCCAGCTGAAACGCTTTCAGCTGATCATCTGCACACCATCGAGGATAAAAGGTAGGTGACTACTGCACAGCTCAGCTGGGACGTGAGGTAGGATGATGCTCGGTTACTTGTCTGCATAGCGGCTGGGTGTTCGCCTGTAACAAACAACACATCAGATCGTTCCAGAGAGTGAGTATTACAGTATACTAGATAGTCACACTGTTCTCCCAAGTTTGAATTTAAAAATTAATCTGTATTGTTGTAAACATGTATAATATTAATTTGAAAAGAATACGAGCTGAGTTTCTTGTCAGTTCTTCTCATCTCGATATCATTCCGAACTGACGGTAGATTTGACATGTCATAACAGTCTGTAATAGACCTATATGAATAAAGATATTTTGAATTTCGAATTTGAAGTACATCACAAGCTGAAATCATTCCGAACTGACGGTAGATTTGACATATCATAAGAGTCTGTAATAGACCTATATGAATAAAGATATTTTGAATTTCGAATTTGAAGTACATCACAAGCTGAAATCATTCCGAACTGACGGTAGATTTGACATATCATAAGAGTCTGTAATAGACCTATATGAATAAAGATATTTTGAATTTCGAATTTGAAGTACGTTATTGAAATCATTCCGAACTGACGGTAGATTTGACATATCATAAGAGTGTGTAATAGACCTATATGAATAAAGATATTTTGAATCGAATTTGAAGTACCTCATAAGCTGAAAACATTCCGAACTGACGGTAGATTTGACATATCATAAGAGTCTGTAATAGACCTATATGAATAAAGATATTTTGAATTTCGAATTTGAAGTACGTCCTAAGCTGAAATCATTCCGAACTGACGGTAGATTTGACATATCATAAGAGTCTGTAATAGACCTACATGAATAAAGGTATTTTAAATTTCGAATTTGAAGTACGTCCAAAGCTGAAATCATTCCGAACTGACGGTAGATTTGACATATCATAAGAGTCTGTAATAGACCTATATGAATAAAGATATTTTGAATTTCGAATTTGAAGTACCTCATAAGCTGAAAACATTCCGAACTGACGGTAGATTTGACATATCATAAGAGTCTGTAATAGACCTATATGAATAAAGATATTTTGAATTTCGAATTTGAAGTACATCACAAGCTGAAATCATTCCGAACTGACGGTAGATTTGACATATCATAAGAGTCTGTAATAGACCTATATGAATAAAGATATTTTGAATTTCGAATTTGAAGTACCTCATAAGCTGAAAACATTCCGAACTGACGGTAGATTTGACATATCATAAGAGTGTGTAATAGACCTATATGAATAAAGATATTTTGAATTTCGAATTTGAAGTACGTCATACGCTGAAATCATTCCGAACTGACGGTAGATTTGACATATCATAAGAGTGTGTAATAGACCTATATGAATAAAGATATTTTGAATTTCGAATTTGAAGTACATCACAAGCTGAAATCATTCCGAACTGACGGTAGATTTGACATATCATAAGAGTCTGTAATAGACCTATATGAATAAAGATATTTTGAATTTCGAATTTGAAGTACGTCCTAAGCTGAAATCATTCCGAACTGACGGTAGATTTGACATATCATAAGAGTCTGTAATAGACCTATATGAATAAATATATTTTGAATTTTGATTTTTTAGCTGATCTGCCCAACTTCGTCTGTATCACACTTACTTGACATTTCTCATTACATATTTCGCACAATGCATCTAATATCTTTTGAAATTATAACCTATGTGTTATTCTAGGGTATAAGCTATATTACTGTAAAGTTTCATCAAAATCCGTTCAGTAGTTTTTGCGTGAAAGAGTCACAAACATCCAACCATCCAGTATGTATGGATACATACTCACAAGCTTATTATACATATATCAGAATAACATATAGGCTATTAGTATATATTATACATGGGCTTAGTAAAGAAGGTTTTTTTTTCGTACTATTCTAACTTTACAGCTTCGCCGGACGTTAGGGGGCGAGGTCAGATGGCACTCCAAACCCGCGGAAGGACTTATGGAGCGGCTGAAGGCCAGCTCCTGCCTGACGGATACGACTTTAGTCTGAGGGCACCACTAGGGATTCGAACCTCGGCTCAGGCCGTCGTAATTTCGATCCCCGTTTGAATTGGATGGGGGGTCGATCGGAGGGGACATAAAGAAGGTATATCTATATCAAGTAACAAATGTAATTTAGTTACTTGTATTACCAAAAATGAGAACACGTTTGTATCACAGTAATAGTTATAGCTGTTGCATAAATATATATAATAAATTACCAACTACAATTACAAATATCTGTTTAAAATGGTTCAAAGACAAATTAATGAAATGGCTGATAAATAAGTGTTTTTAATCAATGGAAGATTATTTTACATGCAAAATAGATGACATTATATAATTTTTATTAATAACTATAAATATTAACATTAATTAATTAATACAGATATTTAAATGTATTTGTGGGTATTCGTAATGTAATGACATAATTTTTATATTAAATTTAATTTTGAACTTTCGTGTTTAATATACATTATTTAATAATAATAATAATCTCGGGTCTTCACACATTCATCTAGAATAATTTTACTAGACAACTGATACATATACATAAATAGTTTTTTTTTTTGTAAATACATACATATTATACACAGAAAACTCTCGATACAAATAATCATACTCATGTATACAAATGTTTGTGCCGTGCGAGGAATCGAACCCGCGACTATCGGTCGTAAAGCGGTGTGCTAGACCGCTAGACCACCGAGGTCGTCAAGGATTTCTAGTCACTTAGGACTTTTATTAGTTAATAAGATTCGAAACTACCATGTAGCAAGAAAATAAATAAATAATTATTATTATTATTAGATAATAATAATAAGAGCCCTGGTAACACGTGTAATATCTAGTTTAGGATATCAGCGTGCTCATATTGTGTTATGCAACTTTTTGCCATTTATTACCTAGAACCAACTTTAACTGTAAAATTACATCTAAATATATATAACTCAAAGGTGACTGACGTAGTGCTCTATCAACGCACAGCCCAAATCACTTCAACATCTTTAAAACTATGCAACAGATTTTGAAGCGATTTTTTTATAGATAGAGTGTTTCAAGTGGAAGGTTCATATGTACATATATGTATTATATATATAATACATATACACCCGTACGAAGACGGGGTGGGTAGCTAGTATATTAGTATAGAATACTGCACAGTAAATAGAAATAGAAATAGAAATAATCTTTATTCAAATAAACTCATTACAAGCACTTTTGAATAGTCATATTTTGATTCTACCACTCATTCGGAATGCAGATTCATCACAAGAAGAATGAGCAAGAAACTTGTGTGTTGCTCTTTTTAATAGATGTTATTTAAATCAATTATATTTCAGATCAACGTTCATAAAATTACAATTGGACGTCACTTAGGTAAGTTAGTCCAATTATCAATTATTAATTGCTCACCATTAAGCACGTGTACCGAGACGGAGGCTGGATGAGCATTGTTCGGCACACAAGTGTAATTCCCGGAGTCGGTAAGAGCGGCCTTGGTGACCAGCAGTTTGCTGGTAGTACCCCCTTCCGTCTTCTCTGTCTCCAAGCTGATGCCCCCTCGAGGGGAGTCGAAGTCTACCACTGAATTGCCATGGTACCTGTGAAGACAGCAGGTTTTATGACCTCTCCAAATGAGGAAGCAGATTTAGCAATGTGGATGTTGTAATTTAAATAATGTAAATCTAATCGTCGCGGGTTCGATTCCTTGGATGAATATTTGTATTCATGAGTATGATTGTTTGTATCGGTCTGGGTGTTTTCTATTTATAATATGTATGTATTTACTAAAAAAATCTATGTAGATGTATCAGTTATCTAGTACCTATAACACAAGCTTTAGCTAGCTTAACTTGAGTCTAGATGGCGCTGTGTGAAAAAAAAATGTAAACCAAATAATGAGGGAAATCTATTGTTACAGATTATGCTGTGAATAATATAAATGATGTAGTGATGTAACTTGAAACAGTCATGCTCGCTATAAAGTTCAAATTTGTGGCGGCGTGGTGGGCCGGGTCAATGTCCCTCTAATATGGTTGAGTGCAATGATGGACGGCTCATCCGTCATATTCGTGAACGGGTGCTGCTTGTGGGGACTGGTCTGTTCGGGTTACGAACACTGATTAGACTACTTGCTTTTGCAATAGCATATGCTAGTAGTCACTCTATTCTCCCAAATTTGAATTTAAAAATGATTAGATATGAAGTATTATTGTAAACATGTACATTAATTTGAAAAGAATACGAGCTGAGTTTCTTCTCAGTTCTTCTCATCTCGAAATCATTCCGAACTGAAGGTAGATTTGACATATCATAAGAGTGTGTAATAAGACCTACATGAATAAAGACATTTTGAATTTGGATTGTTGACAACACCCAGACCGATACAAATAAGCATACTCATGAATACAAATGTTTTTATCGTGCGAGGAATCGAACCCGCGACCATCGGATAGTAAAGCGGTGTGCTAAACCACTAGACCACCGATGCTGTAAATTGATTGCTCTCTAAACGTTATGCTGTTCATCTATTGCCTTGGTAATCACTTACCATTAACTGGCGGGAAAAGTTACCAAGTCCAGCTATAAAAAAAATGCAAATGCTTCTTACCACAATACTGAGGCACTCGATGGCGGCGAGGAGTGCACATTCACTGAACATGTCAGTGATATCGTGCTACCTTTCTTCACATACACATCCTGGGATCCCGTAATAGTAGCCGCCGCCGCTGCAACAAACAATAATAGCTCTTAAAACGAAAGAAATATAGTTGATAGTCGCTTGAAATATACGTAGACAGTAGAAGACAATATTCGACGTTGGAATATTTCGGAAAAAGCTTGTTGTAAATTGAAATATGTAAAGACGACTGTAAGTGAATGGGAAAAGGGTGGAATTCGCGTGAAATAAATATCTACTGGACAAATAAAGTTTTGGATACGAAATTCTAATACAGTGGACAAAGCGTATAATACAGGCTATTGTGACTTTCTAGCTATGTTTGTTTGGTTTTATGTACCTACTAGATGTGCCCGCGACTTCGTCTCCATAAATTGTCGATACTTCCATATAACCTTTCAACCCCTTTTTTCAGATAAAAAATAGCCTTTCTCAGGTTATAGACTACATGTGTACCAAATTTAATTTAAATTGGTTCAGTAGTTTTGGCGTGAAATCGAGACAGACAGACAGAGTTATTTTCAGATAAGGATAATAGTTGCAACTAGTTATATTTGCGTTATTTTGAACAAAAAGTATTTATATACATGTTAATCTAGGATATTAGAATATTTGACGTCCTTGGTAGTCTAGCGGTTTAAACAATGCCTTACGGCCGATGATCGCGGGTTTGATAAGTGATTGTTTGTATTGTATTGTATTGGTCTAGGTATAACTTATGAATATTATAAATGTATTTTTTTTTTATATAACACAGGGGACAAACGAGCATGCGGCTCACCTGATGGTAAGTGATTACCGCCGCCCATGAGCACCCGCAACACCAGGGGAATTGCAAGTACGTTGTCGGCCTTTTAAAAAGGAATAAGCTCTTTTCTTGAAGGTTTCAATATCGTATCGGTTCGGAAATACCATTGCTGGAAGGTGATTCCATAATGTGGTTGTGCGAGGCAAAAGGTTTCTAGAAAACCATACTGTGGAAGACCGCTATTCATCCAGATGATCAGGATGGTATTTCAGTTTCTGGCGGGTGGTACGGTGGTGAAACTCAGCAGCTGGTATTATTCCGAACAATATTTATAGTATTTACAAAATAAAAGTATTTATATATTTATATCTGTTGTCTAGTCTCTTGCCTAGCTTGGGACTAGGTGGCGCTGTGGTGAACTAACAATTTATAAACTGTCTGGTAATATAATAATAACTCAGGACAATTCAGCGCCACCTAGCCCCAAACTAGGCAAGAGACTCCAAAACCTTAGTCAATATAGACAGTCAAGTTTGATTGCATGGAATGATTAAATTATATTATTAATTACTTATGTGGACAAGAACATACATAAACAAGAAATTACTGCACTATTATTAGTCATGTTTTTGGACTCGCATAGGGGAGGTGGTGGTAAGATGGGGTACTTAAGCTTTAAAGGTCTGTAATATGAAAAATTACATAGTGAAACAATCATATTTATTTTTTAAATAACAACTAATTATTATTATTCCAATATTTGGTGTCATTAGGAACTTTAGGTTCGACGACCTCGGTGGTCTAGCGGTCAAGCACACCGCTTTACGACCGATGGTCGCGGGTTCGATTCCTCGCACGGCACAAACATTTGTATTCATGAGTATGATTGTTTGTATCGGTCTGGGTGTTTTCTATGTATAATATGTATGTATTTACAAAAAAAAAATATCTATGTATATGTATCAGTTATCTAGTACCCATAACACAAGCTCTAGCTAGCTTAACTTGGGTCTAGATGGTTCTGTGTGAATTGTCCTGAGATTATTATTATTATTTAGGTAATACATTGGAGAGAAAAAAAAAAAATAAAAAAAAGGTGTTTTGCCTACATCAATACCTCCTTTTATCTGAAAGATATTCATTTGTACTGTAGAAGCACATGTTTACTAACCACTTATATAGTTCTTTCTTAAATTTTCATTTATTTAATTGCGAGTTCATCTGGCAGGTGGTTAAATATTTTGTTAGATGTCTTTAGTAAAGGATAAGCTAACATATTGAGACGTCTTCTTGTGTATTTACTTTCAATATCATTTTTTAACAGTTATGGGAAGGACTTTACGAATAAACAGACCTTATAAATGTACATCGATGGCAAGCTTAATAAGTTCAATTCTTTCAACAAAGGTTTGCAACTCTTTATCGTTCGTACTTGATGTACGAATATGGCCCATATACATTTTTTTATGTAATATGAAAGCCCTATTAACTTCTACCGATTAATCAACAAATTTGATGTGGGTACTATTCAGAGCAAACTACATGCCCCTACTACGGATATTGCTCTGCGTTTGTGTGCGCTGATAAAAGCAACTTAATAAATAGATCCCTCGCAGTTGGAAATTATTTGATTGTTTATTATTTTTATGAATTGTTCCGATTAGTTTGTAATAATGGGGTTGATATGTCTGAAAGCAAAACCCCAAAATAATTCTTTTAATTTTTTTTAAAATCTAGATGATTTAAAACAAAATCTTCTACCGAGTCTCCCCATAGAACTAAGCTATGTCGCAACGTAATCATGATAATAGTCGCTATAGCGCATATGAAAAACGATTTAACTAACTAACTAACTAACGTTGTTTCCAAGTACAGTTGTCATCCAAAACAATCCCCAAAAACGTTACTGTATTTATTTAAAAAAAACATTACTTAAAGTAACATGTATTTAACACACACTCCCATATATACTCTTTTGTTTATTGTTAAAATCTGTGGTCAAATTGAGAATAGATTAATATTATCTGTTAATTGTTAAACATACCATAATAAATTCTCTGTTCTACCATTTAAATGTTAGGGAACTTATATATATGTATATATATATTGGTTAAAAATGGATGTGGAAGCGTCTGTCACGTACGTTGTTATTTGGAATAATTAAACATGCTTATTTGGATTTTCTTGTAATTATGCTTCACTTGGTCTCGAAGATATCTTCGCTAGCTTTCGTGGTAGTTTTTTCACAGTAGGTTTCCTATCTTAATTCTAATTTCTTTCAAACATAAATTATTCACAACACAATGCGCGCGCGCGAACACATAAGCATCTAAAACATGTACCTGTCAGTTCAGTACAGTAGTTATATATTTAAATATTATTAATAAATTTTATTATAAGAAACCGCGGGAACACAAACTAACGGACTCTAATATAATAATCTGTGCTTACGATGGTACAGGGTAGATTTTGAACATATCTATAGTCTTACTAATTGTCAAACATCACCATAAATTCATTAATGTTCAAACGCATAATCTAAATTAAATTCGAGTGGCCGACCACTTATATATATGTGTATTTAAAAATGTACTACATTACTATTATTATTTAAAGTTAAATATTGAATAACAGAACCTATGTTTATCATGCAGCGTGTCAATACAATGTAGCTTTGGAGAAAATTGCTCGCGTGGAAAGCAATTTGTCCATAAATTGTGCCTACAAAAATAACATATTGTTTGCACGTTCTACGAAAATGACTGGCAGATTGTTTTATAGGAGCAACTTGCCACAAATGAGTCTTTAATTATTATTATTATTAATATTATTTAAAGGGATGATGGTTACATTACTCTTATTCCGATGGTTAAAGTTCGATATTTTCACAGTACACTCATGTTTATCATGCGGAGTACCTAGACAACTGTACAATGTCAAGCTCAGGGCCTTCGAACCCTTACCAGAAAATCTCGATCAAAGTGGACTTTTCAAAATTTCTCCCATTTTCAAAATGAATATGATAGGTTGAAACTCGAGTTTAATCATGGCAACTCAGTTGAGAGAAATTCGAAAGTTATACCTTCGGAATTCACCTAAATTCTTTCTGTGGGTTGGCAGTGTTGTCAATTTGACTGATAGCGATATGTGCCTTTTAATAACAGTGTAATGTAGGACCCCACTGCTGAGCAGGGCCTTATTTTTTGATGTGCCCCAGGGCCCTTGGTTATCTAACTACGCCACTGCTCATAAGTATGATTGTTGAATATTTACTTTATTTGTAACATACTATTATAAAATACTAGCTACTCGCCCCGGCTTCGCACGGGTGTACATATATTATATATATGAACCTTCCTCTTGAATCACTCTATCTATTAAAAAAAACCGCTTCAAAATCCGTTGCGTAATTTAAAAGATTAAGCATACATAGAACCGGACAGACAGCGACAGCGACTTTATTTTATTAGTATAAAATAAAGTCTCTGTCGCTGTGTTGTTTGAGACTTTTATTTATCATTACATAGTATGTAATGATAAATAAAAGTCTCAAACAATATATTAAAGGACACGTGTTACAATGAGGCAGCCTTATAGCTGAAAGCAATCTTTTCAAGGCAACCTTAGGCAATCGGAGTGAAATATCCAACAGATAGGTTATATGCAAACCCGAGAAAACTAAAAAAAATATTATTATTATTATTATAATAATACAAAATCTTATATATATCTAAGCATATTCGATGTAGATATTTAAAAAAAATGTTAAGTATTTCTAAGTGTTGTCTAGCACCTATAATACAAGCTCTGCTTAGTTTGTGACTAGTGATGTGTGAATTATCCTGGATTTTTATTATTATAATAATAATAATAATCTCAGGACAATTCCCACACCGCCATCGAGACCCGAGTTAAGCTAGCTAAAGCTTGTGTTATGGGTACTAGACAACTGATACAAATACATAGATAACTTTTTTTCGTAAATACATACATATTATACATAGAAAGTACCCAGACCGATGCAAACAATCATACTTATGAATACAAATGTCTGTACCGTGCGAGGAATCGAACCCGCAACCATCGGACGTAAAGCGGTGTGCTAGACCGCCAGACCACCGTGGTCATCAAATAATATAAATTTTGTCAGACATGTTCTTAAAGTTTGAAAGTTTGTTCTTGTGGATGGATGAAAATGTTAGTTTTTATTAAAAATGATGTTTGTTACTCTTTCACGCAAAAACTACTGAATAGATTTTAATGAAACTTTGCGATTATATAGCTTATTGGAATAACACATT